CCCTAAACCCTAAACCCCTTTAAGATGAGATCTCTCGGGGGGGTCCCGGCTGAACCCTCGGACTCCGCAAGGGTCGAATTGGACTTCTCAGTTTAGCCCTGGCCTTGATCCAGTTGGGGCGGGCTTTCAAAACTGGGTTGTCTTTAGGGTTTAGGGTAATTTCCCTTACTATTTTGTAGAGAACCATAATAGTAAATAATTTTCAAAGGGCTTGAAGGACAAATTAGAAAAGGGGCGGCAAGATCTAGCAATCTCCTCTTCCTTGACCCATATCAAAGCCTCGAAAGCGGAACCTCGTGAGTAGGACGTAGGAATGCGCGCAAAGGCCTGCAAAGGAGTTGAATCCCCAAAAAAGCCCCGAAAATCGAGTACTCACGCGAGAAGCCATGGCTGTGACGGATCCACGGCACTGCCTGAGCTTGAACACCTGTGCTTCTACAGCCCTGAATAACATAAGGCTTGTTCAGAGCAAAGACAGCCGTGAGGACGGGTCCACGGTCATGGTCAACCGCGGGCACCTGCCGGCCCACCGCCTGGACCGTGCCACCCGTCCTGAAGTGCCCACGCCGCGGCCTCGGCAGTGGCGATAGAGACTTTCAGAGAAAGCTCCCCTGTCAATGGCAGGTCTTGGGGGAGCGAGGTTCAGGTGATGTGGCAATGAGGCTTCCGATGACCTTGTGCCCCAAAGCCGAGACCTCATGCATAAAGACCGCAACACCTCCAGAATCCTGGCCTCAAAAAACTAAACTTCAAAGCCTCGACCCTTTTCGCCCTGAGCCCCCAAAACAATCCGAACCTTCATCTCCGATCCCAGTGGTCCTTCGCCCAGATGGGTCCGAGTGCGGGGAGTCCTCGAGGAGGGTGAAATCCCGAATTTGATCGGGAGGCGTGGCAAGGGAATGCGGCGCTTCAAGCCTTAAACCATAAACTTCTAGGTTTTAGGGTAAGGGACTAGGCATTTCTTAAGCTTTTGAGTTAAGCCAGAGGGCCCTAACTCAAGCGTAGGCTCAGGCGCTGTAAGAGTGGTACGCAGGAAGTTGTATGTTTTACTTATGATACAAACTAAGGTCAGAGTTCAGGGTTTGCACATTGGACTAATGCAATATGGTCCAGGGCTTTGGGTCCTAGACATATCATTGAGAGTGTGCGGGGCAATAACAGGAAAGTCTGGCAGGGGCTTTGACCTGGGTTCAGTTCGAAGGACAGGAGTAGTCGCAAGATTAGCAAAAACACGATGACAATGAATGCAAGAGCGGGAACACTAGCAGTCGGAATAGGAAGACTGATACAGCGAGTAGGTTGAGGATGTTCTTCGGCGTTGGGATTGCTGTGATACGTCAGACATTCACACGGAAGAATCGGATTCGGGGTGCAGGAACCAATGAGCTGAGGGTTTCGAAGTAGGCGTGAGTCGAGACTATGGGGGGTTGAAGTGAATTCGAGCTTACGCCTAGCCCAGCTTGTGAAGCGTCTTGCAGTACCTGTTCGAAACTGCTCCAGGCATAGTGTCCGGAACCCCAAACTCATGCGCTGTTTTCCCACGCTCTGGACCCAAACCCTGACATGAGCTTCCGTTTTTCAATTGCCAAGGCGGCGCTGGACTAAGCTGTTTGCAGCCTATGACGGGATCTCCTCATGAAACTTAGGGTTCCCTGCCCGACAGCAGCTTTGCTCCTCTCCGCGAAGCATCGCCCACGGCTCAGCCTCTGAGCCTCACCGAGACATGAGTGCCGCCAAGTCGAGACGGAGCCGTCCCCGGGCTCTGAGAGTTCACACCCATCAGGAATGCAGAAAAACAGACACAAGAAAGCTCTCTGACCAAGCAACGATCCATCGTCTCCTTGTCACCATCTGCCTGTGCTTTTTGTTCAACCCCTCGTCAGCTCTGCTGCTTCCCGCCCACCATTTCGAAGATCTTGGCCAGGTATGCTCGAGTCAAGAACCGGCCTGACAAGAACCAGGCGGAAGCCGAAGAGTCTTCGGTCTCGGCTTTGGTAATACAGGGGCCTAAATAATTACCAATACTATTTTGGGGGCTCCTTACTATAATTATAGTATAATGGGCCCCGAAACCCTATACTAATTATTAAGGCCCCATTATGACTCCAATTTGAAGCTTCGCAGGTGCCTTGCGCCTCTTCTTGGCGGATCAGGGATTCTGGTAACTAGGCTACAATTGGAACCCCAATTCGGGCACCTATAACATCGCATAAGTATGACCCAAAGTAGCCTCTAGTACGGCTCTACTTGCCAAGTCCTCTGATCCTTCTCGCATTCTGGTGTTGTGTTACTTGCAAGGTTGCGCAAACTCTTCTTCCCATACTGGGGACTGCTCCAGTGCTTCCATCGAGTCAGAATCGGAATGATGGTGTGGGAATTTAAGGCATCAGTCTAAAGAAAGGCTGAGGACTCGGGGCAGACAAGGTACTGTACACTCAGAGCTCCTGCTGGCAGATGATACAGCTCAGTGCGCTGCCTGGAACTCTAGGTGCCTTTGTCTCCGAGTTTGGTCTTTGATTGTTGCTCGGAGTACCTGGTCCTACTTCATCAATGAGTCCTTCGTGGTTCGGTAAGCAAAGAAAGCCTGTTCCCATGGAGAATACCGCTTCCTGGCGGCAGTTCCTCTACCTCATCGCCCCGGAGTTGGCCGAGAACGCCAATGCCCGGAACCACGAAGAGTGCAGCCAGGCCGTCCAGGGTGTCCAGATGTCACCAACACACGCAGTGTGTATACTCATATACAGCATATACAGGTTCATACACACATATAGACAGAGAGAGAGAGAGAGCAGAGAGAGAAGAGAGAGAAGAGAGAGAAGAGAAAGAGAGAGAGGTCATTAATGTAGAGAAGCAGATCATTGATCAGCGCATGGATAGATAAATTCAGCTCAACCTTCGCCAATAAGTGCCAAATTCATGCCAGCTTCGTGAGGCGTCTTGTTTTGTACATTCGTTGGGATAGTCCTGCAGTGCGGAAAGTGCTCCTAGCCACCGGAGCCTAGGGTGACCATAGATATATATATATATATGTATGTATGTATGCATTCATTACATTCTATACTTTTTTGACATTATTTACATTATATAATGTATGTATATGTTCCTGAACTCTGAGATTGGACCACTTGAGCGGGATGCTGCCAGGCTCTGGTGACGGCCATTGACGTTCTCTACGAGGCTGCAATGCTGACTTGTTGGTCCTGCTGTGTTTTGAAAGTGGCTTGGCAAGGGGACAACGAGGGTTTAGGGTTTATGGGCCATGATTCCCGGATCCGCTAGTCAGGGCTCTGTCTTCCTTTGCAGCAAGAGGATAGCGTATCGCCTGAACTTCCATCCTACACCCTAGAAGAAGCAATCCCCTCAACCCTAGCTGCCGGCCAGCATGCTGCCTTGGCTCCAAGCAGGGTAGGAGGGAGCTCACGGACAGTTCTGCCCACGGCGCCTTGGGAGACGCAACCCGGCCGGAAGGATTGCCAAATAATGGAACTTCCTTCTTCTTTGACTGTTGGTCTTCTCCGTGTGCTTGGGGATCATGCAGTCCGGATGTAAACACTGCTGTTCGCCAGATTTCCGACCTTGCGAAGCGGATGACTGGGTGATGGATTCAGCCAAGCCGAGCTTCAAAGTCAAAGCTGAGGCTCTAAGGACTGCCGAAGCAGGCTCTCTCTTAGACGTGCCAACTAAGACTCCAATTAAACCCTGGCACTCAAATCACCTCGAGCATAGAAGGATTCTTTCAGACGAATCGAAACAAGAAGCAAAGCTTCGCACACCAGAGGCAGCCCGGCAGGCTTTCCAGCCACCTGGCAGAGTGGGGGTTAAATGATGGTCTCTGTTAGAGCGCTCAGAATAATCCGCGACTCTAAGGGCGGTGCCCTCTCTGCCTTGCCCCAGAACCATCTCTGTGGTCCTTCTTTCAGGTCTTCATTCTTGATAGGTTCCTTGCGACGGTACCAGAAGCATGGAGGAGCATGTCCAAATCTCAACAGATGAGGGGCTCATTGTGGAGTATCCCGTAGATTTGATCGGGCTTCTCATTCAGATGAACTCCTCCCTCACTAGCGTTACAAGGCTGTCCTGCTTTGCAGATGAATGTGTGTGGGTTTGTTTAGGGCTTCATGAATCCCTACAGATGGTCTTGAAAGTTTTGGTTTTTAGGTTCGTGGATAGCAGCTACTATAGCTATTCATACTTACACCGTCAAACCCCCCAACAGAAGCTGTGAAGCTACCCACCTTGTCTGGTTGTTGGATGGGGTATGAGTGGCTTGGAGTAGTAATATAGGGCCTAAATAACTACCTATACTATTTTGGGGCTCCTTGCTATAATCATTTTGTCATGGACCCCAAAACCCTGTTCTAATTAGTCGTTATTATTTTCCTGAAGGTCGACGCCTGTATCCTGAAACCACGTCCGTGCTCCAAGTGTTCCCAAGCCCGAAGCCGTTGATCCCGAACTGCGCACCCTGGACGACATGTGGCCGCTAAGGTCTGCAGCATGTGGATGTGGGAATGTTGGGTTTTTAGATAGAAGTCTTGCACGCACTGCTCGCGTCCTTCCCCTTGCCTTGAGCTAGACGCGCTGGTGACTTCCAGACAAGCACCAAGCAGATGTCCCTGGAACCTGAGCATCAACGCCCGCACCAGCGTAGTGCAGAGAGCAATGATGGTACGAGAAGTGGATAGCATCTAGAATATGAGGACCCGTCGCTTGCTGACACCCAACCAGCCCATGATGCGCTGCCGTTTTGCTTGGTCAGAAGCCGTTGCATGACAGGTGAGCTCCAGCAGATTAGTTTGCAGCTCCTCTTGAACTAATTTCATGTTTCCTTCATCACACAGGGTGCTGTTCATGCGTGTCATGCTATGAGCACGGATGCACGACACATGTATGTGAGACACATCTGAAAGAAACTTCGAGCGGCAAAAGTCACAGAGGCAAGCTGTGTGCTTCAAGCCTGAACCTTGCAGCTTTCGACTTGTATTCAAAGGCTTTGCCAATGCAAGTTCACAAGCTCGCGAGCCTTGAAACACCTTGCGACCAACATCTGCATGAATCTGAACACATTCACAGCCTCATTTCAGCAGTCGCATGAGGGGAAGATAAGGCTCGTGCCATGCCATGGTAAGATGCAGCATATCTCCTGTAGCTTCCAGTTCTCACAGACCAAGGAGCCTGCATTTGCCTTGAAGCCTTCGAGCTCGGCAGCAGATTGGGCCATGAACCGCAACAAGGCTCTTCTCGATGCTCTCATGGGCTTCTCGGCGTGAGACCAGATTTGCATGCTCGTCCAATGCAGAGTGAACGAACTCAGTTCGCTGCGTATGTCAAGGCGCCAACCGCGATGCTTCCAAAAAGGATAAGCTCAACAGTCCTGACCTTACAGCGGCACTGCATGCGATAGGCACCACTGCTGTTGGATTGTTGCCACTGTTTCCAGATTGTTTCGTGTCCGGAATGAATCCTTCAATGCACAGCACAGTCTGTCGGAACTGCTCTTGCAAGCAATGTGCCCCCCCCCCTGACCGGAGTACTTCAAACCAAGCGGGTGAGGTGCAGGACGCTAGTGTTCTTGCTGGTGTAACTCTAGCACCAGCCCTGGGAACCTTGCTTGCCTGTGTGGGGCCTGCAGCTCCCAGCTTATTACGAAGCTACGAGCCTTTTTGCGTGTGTTCAGCGTGGAGTTGTTCAGTGCACGAGATGTTGCTGCTTCAGGTGAGCCTGAGTTCAAGAAGGACTGCCAAGTCGTGGTACTGCGCCTTTGATAGCACTGACATTCGAAACCGCGATGCCTCTGTGGAAGGACGATTACTGCAAGTTCTTCCTTGTCGGGTACTGCCCGGGGAAAACGTTGGGCCGAGAAGTGGAGAGCGTGCGCGCCTTACAGTGCAAATTCTGAAGTGCTAGAAGCCGTCGCAAGTTCTTGGCGGAAAGCTGCACTGGTCCTGCTCAGCTCCGGGCGGAGTTTGACCCCAAGAGCGTGATCCCTCCTTGCAGGGCCCTCAAGACTCAGGCCTTTGCTCGTTTGGGTGTTGTGGCCGTGTGCGAGTGCTGAGGTAACAAGCTCCATTCCATCGGAGTCAGAGAGGAGTTCAAAGCGCACAAAGACTATCAGAAGTATAAACGCAGCTGAGCTGGATGACACTTTTCATGCATCTCCGCTTGCTTTTCATGTGCTAGGGCGATCACACGAAACTCGGAGCAAAATAGCATCACTGGCTCTGTTTGTTCAGGAACTTCGTTTGTGTTCAGGGTGGTTGTCGAGAACTGGACGTCGTTTCCAGAATGGGATTCCCTTCATCCGCACAGGGCTAGAAGAAGGCGCCTTCGAAGGCATCCTGTTTTGAATTGGCCGGGCCCGATTTGGAGTGTCGCTCCTTGGACTTGGTCCTGCGATGACCCGCCGAGGCGCACACTAAGAAAAGTCAAAGTGGCCAAAGTGGCAGCTGGAGACAGTTCAGTCCGAAAGCATGTAGTCTTTTAGGAGCTCTTTGTCTTTAACTTTAGGGCTTGCCAGCTTCGTTACAAGCCAAGCCATGTTTGGCACGATGGGCTTGAGCCCTGTTTTACACCCGCGCTGATATGTGCTAGCACAAGGCTGCGGCCGCCTGCGCAAGCGGATCCGGGAGTTGAAAGAAACTCCGATGTCCAAACAAACACTGCAAGAAACATTTCGCAGGTTTTTGAGGAGCAGTTCTGTGAACCTTGGCTGTCATAGCTTCAAGAGGACCCACCGTCTTGACCTGTAGCCGTGACAATGCACACAAGGGGCCTCACAACAGCTCGAGCCTCAGTGCGCTTCCTGAGGTGGGAGGCCCGTCCATTGTGCCAAAGTCGCAACTCCTGTGCAGCTGTCGTTTGCCAAAGGTGCTGGAAAGTAGGATTCGACATATTTCACTGGCAAGAATCAGCCTCATAAGCATCGGCATCTCGTTGTAATGGGCTCCCCGAAGGCACGGCTTGGCGCCTGACGTGCGACTTCTCCAGCTAGTGCCAACTAAGGTAGATATGAGGATGATCTCCTCCATCTTATCGACAAAGGCATCAGAGAAGTTGAGGACAAGGTGGTCCGTTATGCCTCCGGCTCTGTTTGATCGGGCTCTTCCCAACTCTCTCTGTCTCTCTCTCTCTCTCTCTCTCTCTTTCTCTCTCTCTTCCTTGACTCTGACTTGCGTGCAGGTGGCACGAGAAAAGCGCAGGCCTTGCTCGGGGCTTCTCAAATTCGCCTAAGCTCCCCAGGGCAAAACCGAGACTCTTGGAAAAGCAAGCGTTGAGTGGGCGTGCCACCGCCTTCCGCGCACGACCCTCACCATTCTAAGATTGAGGCATGCTGTTTGACAACGAATCCTGTAACTTGCCTGACCAAGTCGCTCTGAGTTGATCGGACGAATGCTGGCCCAGAAGATATCCCACTCAAGCCGAGGATGGACAGACGCATGAGAGCCGCTGTGAAAGCGATGAGATCTTTCTGTCCACTAGTCTGTGCTGCCTATCGAAAGTACATGTGGCATACCTCCCCGAAGTCGTACACAGCCCAGAAACAGTTTCTCTGGGTGCATCAGGCATACTGAAGGCATCGCAGTCATGACGGACCAGGACGACTCTCAAGTCATATGCCCGAAGCCCCCAAAGGAGCACCTTGAGGCCCCACTGTGGCTCCCAGGACCGGCTCTGCGAGATCTGTGGCCTGAAGTACAAGCTCCGCTTTGCGGACATCAACGTTCGAGAAACCGAGGGAGGGAAGTACAAGCCCGACATCCATCCGGAGTCCGATTACCACAAAAATTATGTCAAGCTGCGAGAAAAGCAGAGCCTCGGTATTTTTCTTCCTTTTTCGCGTTTGCACTCTGCTTGTCACACCGTGGGTTTTGAGTATGGGCTGCCATTCCGCAGAAGCGCAGCAGATAAGGATTGAGTACGAAAAAATCATCAAGGCCCGGTCGGATGGAGATGACAAAGCGGGAGACAAGGAGTCATGCCAGGGCTGAAATTCCCTGCTGTGCTCTGAAGTCAGCGAGTTGTCTTGAAAGGACGAGAAAGACAGACACCGAAATCGGGACAACGGTGGACGCAGCGGCTCTCGCCGCCCTCGCGACGATGACCGTCGCCGCGACCGGGACGATGACGATCGTCGAGACCGCGGTCGCGACAAGGACGAAGACGGTCGCGACCGCAATGGAGAACGAGACCGTCGAGACCGTGGTCGTGACCGCGATGATGACCGCGATCGCCGCAGCAGAAGAAGGCAGGGTTTGTGCTTTCTAGTACGCTTCCTGTTGGCCTATCTGAGAAACATGTGCACAACGGTTTTACCTCAACAAGCAAGCTCTTTCAGTGTGACCCCGAATCCACTGAGAAGGAGCCGTGATGCTCGGGATGATGATCGAGACAGGCCATATCTGCTGCACACTTGTGTCGGAGTTCTGCAGGATGCGGCTTTGGGGGGTCGGACAGTCGAACAAACATCTGTCCATCCTCCTGCGTCCCCGCAGGCGTCGCAGAAGTGCGGACGGGGACAGGGCCTTTCTTAGTTTGCAAGTGTCAGAGATGCAGAAAACATGTCGCACAGACTGCAAAGTGAACTCCTCGGTGATCCTAGTACTCTTTCAAGACAGCATGCATCAGGACCGTCGCCGCCGCTCCTACGACAGAAGCCGTAGCCGCCGACGCTGATCCCTGCATGTGTCCTGACAAGTGTCATCCCAAGAAACTACTCAGACATCACCGCATCTCTACACATTTTACACATCACCCCTCCCGAAACATGCGCTCCTCATCTGGCCATCCTTGTATGGTTTTCGCAGTCCAGCGCACCATCTAAGTGCGCAGGATGTGTCACAGCGGAAACCTGCGTCAGAGACTCGGAAGCGCGTTGGCAAAAGCTAAGGCACATGCAAGTGAAGCTGAGTTTGGAGAAATCCCATAGTGATGCTCAGAAACTGGCACTGGAAATGGCCTGGACTCCTTCCGATAGATTCATTCAGACGAAGCCCGAAGTTTCAACAACCGCACAAAATGCTGGAAACTGCTTCCTCCGATATCATTGGAGGATGATTTCCGGGCCGGCTTCCGCCGGCAGCTGCCATACACGATGAAGCACAAGGAGGTATCGCGACCTTCCGCCTTCAGTCTAAGCATGTGCCCGGAATCATGCTACTTGACATCTGGAGGACTATTTGCTGTTCTGGGCTGACGAGCATACTCATTTTAACTACGCCATGCAGTGGCCGGGACCTCAGATTCAGCAGTGCCGACTTGCAGCCTCGTGCTCAGTCTTGGGTTTTGTTGATCGGCGAGTGGCTGATGCCCAGGTTTGGCATGGGGGCTCTGATGATGGCCCGGCACTTGCAATGCCGGAATCCTTGCACGTATCGCAGAACCGGCCACCAATTTTGCCCCAGGTGATGACCTTCTACAAATTCGTAGAGGTGTCGAGGCTGGCCAGCTTGGTGTATCCAAATGGGAGCAGCACAGTGCGATTCTGCAGTTGGTAAGACACCCTTTCAAACAACACAAGTCTTGAAGAAACAGGGCCTTGCCTTTCAAACGACTGCCACAGGTGGCGCTACTGACGCTGTGCTGGCTGGCGAAAAACTGCATGTGGGCTTCCCAGAATTGTGGCGAGGGGCTTAAGCGGGCACAACACTAAAGCAAATCTTGTTCCCTGACAATCACTAGACAGTTAAGTAAACTCTGGTCTATATGAGGCTTGATGACGCTGCAGCAACTCTCCCCCCTTCCTCGACAAGTTTTAATGCTTTCGAGTGGACAGGTGGATCCCCAAGCCACTTCTTGATCCTGGGAGATGTTTTATAGGAAAACCGATCGCGAATTTTCATTATGCGACTCATTTAATTGAAATAAATACGTCTTGGAATTTTTTGATTCCAAATAATCCTGTGAAAGATGTTTGAATGGAATTCTAGAAGAAATATATATACTTATTAATCTTGAATTATTGATACTTCTATTCTATAAATAATAACGCTACAGCTCGTGTTATTTCTTGCTTTGATACCTTGCTCTAACAGTTATGTAGCGGTAGATGTTTTAATTTGTGTTGTATTATGCTCCGAATTCTTGCTATGAGGTTGGGATTTGAGGCGTTCTTAATAAATTTCGTGCCTTAATTCTTCGAAATTTTTGGAATTGCAGATATATCTTCTGATAATTTTAGATAAGATATAATTTTCTACGAGATCTTAAATTTTCAGATAATTTTTCAATGACTTATTCTGAATTAATAAATTTGAATTAAACATGAATATTTCGAAAAGAACTATTTATAATAATATTTTGATTATGGATGCTAAAATAAAATGGATAAATTTAATAAATTAAAGAAGCTTAATTTTATCTCTTGGATTTTGAATGCAAGTCACGTATTAGAATAATAAAAAGAATAGTTTCTTGCATTATGGGAGCAATTAATTATTTTTTATAATTAATAATATTCTTATTATTGGGGATTTTTATTCCGAAAAATAAAATTTATTATTATATATATAGGGATGGGTGTTGTTTTCAATTCAAAAATATAATTTTCCGATATTTTTTCGAAATTACCTGAATGGTATCTATTGCCCAAGATTAAAAAAATCCGATTTTTGGTTTCGAAGTGATATTTCGCAAATATATGTTGATGAGGATGAGGGATCTCGAAGTCCCAGTATGAAGAAACACGAATTATTGCCGATATAAAATATTTCGATTGACCATATATGATTTGTTATTATCGTCCGTTGAGGCTTCAAAAGGATTCAAATTGATGTTTTCTTCTGCTTCTTTTTGCCTCAAAAAATAATGATATCAAATCATATTTCTTAATATTGGTGCAGCACTTCGAAACCAAAATACGGCAACAAATCGTATTTCCTAGCACTGGGGCAGCACTTCGAAGCCAAAATAGCGGCACCAAATCGTACTTCTTAGCACCGGGGCATCACTTCGAAGCCAAAAAAAAACAACTGCAACAAATCGTACTTCTTAGCACTGGAGCATCACTTGCAAGCCAAAACAACGGCAACAAATCGTATTTCTACGCCCTGGGGCATCACTTCGAAGCCAAAACAACGGCAGCAAATCGTTCTTCTTAGCAGTGGGGCAGCACTTCGAAGCCAAAACAACGGCTCCAAATCGTACTTCTTAGCACTGGGCCATCACTTCGAAACCAAAACAACGGCAACAAATCGTACTTCTCAGGAGTGGGGCATCAATTCGATGCCACAACAACGGCAACTAATCGTACTTCTTAGCACTGGGGCATCACTTCGAAGCCAAAAAAACAACGGCAACAAATCGTACTTCTTAGCACTGGAGCATCACTTGCAAGCCAAAACAACGGCAACAACTCGTACCTCTTAGCACTGGGGCATCACTTCGAAGCCAAAAAAAAAACGGCGACAAATCGTACGTCTTTCCACTGGGGCAGCACTTCGAAGCCAAAACAACGGCACCACATCGTACTTCTACGCCCTGGGGCATCACTTCGAAGCCAAAACAACGGCAGCAAATCGTTCTTCTTAGCAGTGGGGCATCACTTCGATGCCAAAACAACGGCAACAAATCGTACTTCTTGGCTCTGGTGCATCACTTCGAAGCCAAAAAGATGACGGCAACAAGCACTGGAGCATCACTTGGAAGCCAAAACAACGGCACCAAGTCGTACTTCTTAGCAGTGGGGCATCATTTCGATGCCAAAACAACGGCAAGAAATGGTACTTCTTGGAACTGGGGCAGCACTTCGAGGCCAAAACAACGGAAGTAATTCGTACTTCTTAGCACTGGGATATCACTTCGAAGCCACAACAACGGGAAACCCAATAAATCGTACTTCTTCGCATTGGGGCATAGCTTCGAAGCCGAAACAACGGAAACAAATCGTACTTCTTAGCACTGGGGCAGCACTTCGAAGCCAAAACAACGGCAACAAATCGTACTTCTTGGCACTGGGGCATCACTTCGAACGAAAAAAAAACAACGGCAACAAATCGTACTTCTTAGCACTGGAGCATAACTTGGAAGCCAAAGCAACGGCACTACATCGTACTTCCCAGCAGTGGGGCAGCATTTCGAGGCCAAGACAACGGCAACAAATCATACTTCTTGCACTATGATATCACGTC